TGGTCGGATCCATGTCCTCCTGCAGCCAGTGGTCATTTCCCTATTGTGTCCCCACATGACTTACTCGACAGGGAGCCACCCAGAGAGGGATGAATCTCTAAGAAAAGACTAACTCCAGCAACTTCTCTCATCTAAGTCTCTTCTGAGCCCATTACCATGTAGTCTGATCCTCTGTCAGTGTAATCGTCTAAAAGGCTTCATTCACAGGTCACCTGTGACACTTAGCAGTGGAAGGCGTAATTTCCCTCACTGTATGTTGGCACTCAGTGGCTCCACTCAGATGCAGAGGAGGTTGGAGACATGGGCCCTGGCTGAGCAGCTGCCTCTTAGCCACATTTTCCCTCTGTCATGGTTGTCAGCTGGGCACCTCTGCTACAGTGGCACTTGGGTGTGTTTTACAGAGTGGCACTCTCTAATGGCTAGGCCCCTGTAGTCAGAGAGGTCTGGAAGCTGCTCCATCAGAAACTGCCAAGACTTGGCACTGCCAGGCCATAGCTTGAGTTTCCTCCCACCCAAATGATGTAACTGTTGTGGGATACTTAATGACTGAGACAAGGCCCAAATGGCACTTTGATCAGGACCATCTCACTGCTCCCAGCTCTCAGACCTAGTGGGCACGTGCAGTGGCCACTTGGTCGGAGCCTCCACAGCTCAGGCTCCTTGGTATTGGGATGGAGAGGGAAGAGCACCAGCAGCTTTTTTTTTTAAAATTTATTTATTTATTTGAAAGTCAGAGTTACACACAGAGAGAAGCAGAGGCAGAGAGAGAGAGGTCTTCCATCTGCTGGTTCACTGCCCAATTGGCCACAATGGCCGGAGCTGCGCCAATCAGAAGCCAGGAGCCAGGAGCTTCTTCCAGGTCTCCCATGTGGGTGCAGGGGCCCAAGGACTTGGGCCATCTTCTCCTGCTTTCCCAGGCCACAGCAGAGAGCTGGATTAGAAGTACAGCAGCTGGGTCTTGAACTGGCGCTCATATGGGATGCCAGCACTGCAGGCGGTGGCTTTACTCACTACGCTACAGCGGCCCTCCCCCAGCAGCTTTAACCACGTGGTCCCCACAGTCTCTACAGACTTTCCAGTTGCCTTGGGACTTTCCCAATGTGAGCACTTCAAGCTCTGTATCCCCATAAACCTCTCAGTCCCGGGCCAACCGGGACAATTTATATGAGACTGCCTTGGTTTAAAAACCAGAAGTCCCACCTTTTTGGAAACCCCCTCAGTCCAGGGCAAACCAGGATGGTTGGTCCCCTGTACTGTCCTTCCAGCCAAGGCCCTTTGGTTGGGATTCCCTTGTGTGGGATTGAGGCCCGTCTGCTTACAATGAATGGCAAGCTCCCCTCTCCCTGGTCTTTTTATGAGAAACTTCATTATCATAGGATCGTAGGATTATTGCATAAAGGAGGTTCTGACCAGGAAGGAGTAGACATGGCCTAATTTCCCTTAGCATGGATGCACAGGCTAAGGGACTGTCTGTCAGTGTCATCATCAACTGCTCCTTATTGACACATGGCCGCTGCAAGCTGCTTGCTGTCCCTGTTGGGACATTTTCCTGGGCATCCCCTATAATAAGAGGATAGAACACGTCTGCCTCAGGACAAGAAGACTATAAATTACTTCCATGTCAATGGAACTAATTAGCCACTGATAGGATTGGCAAGTGGGAATTTCCAGACTTGCATCTCCTTAAAGTTGCATACCAGGGTCCGTTAAAAAGTCTGTGGAAGAATGGAATTACAAGATGGGTTTATTTTGGTGGAAAGAGGTTTTGAATTTCATGAATGTTTTTTCATAATATGAATTTTTCATGAACTTTCTGAAGATCCCTTGTGTGCATGAATTTCAGATTCTTTTTTGCACCAAAATAAATCTATCTTTCCATTCCATTTTCCATGAACTTTTTGAAGTACCATTATATATCTGTTCACAGCTTACTGAGAAGGAGTTAGCGAGTTATCATGAGACACATCCAGGCATGGATCCCTTTTTTGTGGTGTGAGGGCCTGGAGGGGTCCAGGAGAGCACACAGTGGAGGGATGGAAGAGGTGATGACAGGCAGGTAGAATGCAGCCCCAGGTGTTTCAAGGCCAGCAATACATGGACCACAAGGTCAGCGTGTTCCCAGCAGTGCCTAACTGCTTGTTGGGGACACAGGACCCCATATTCTGGGGGACGAGGGTGCAGAGAACCAGAGGCAGACTGCCCCGATACTCCAGGCTTGGCCTTCCTGCGAGCACTGATGCAGTTACCATCATATTGTTGCCTACATCTCAGTATTTCTAATGCCTCTTGCTTACCCAGCATCTTGCACTCCCTTCCTCACCCTTCCAGTTCTTCTGGGAGTCAAGGGACCAGGGACATTGTCCCTGCTGCAAGCAGTTTAAGGGACAGGTCATGTCATTGGCCTGCCCCAGACCCCTGCACAGATTCTGGAAAGTCTTCCATGACTGGACCACGCAGGGCTGCTCTGGGGTCTCTAGCAGAGGCTGGGGGTGGTGTGTGTGTGTGTGTGTGTGTGTGTCTGTCTGTCTGTGGAGCAGGGGTGAGGCTCTCCCCAGCTTTGCCTCTTTTGTCATCTGAGGCCCAGCATGGCTTGGGTCTGGTACCCTCCCAAGTCTTTCATGAAGAGCTTCAGCTTCCAGGCAGGCCTCCATCAAGGTGGGAAACCAGTTCCCCAGCTTGGACAGGGGAGAACAGACCCTACCCTTATCCCTACCCCTACTCCTACTCCCAATGATTCATATTTCTTTTCCCTATTTGGACCAGAGCTGGTCTTCCTCTTTCTGATAAGAGAGCACACAGGCACATCAACTTGTGTGGACAGACACCCCAGGAGGCCATGACCCACAGGTTCTGGCCTCAATGGTGCAGCTTAGGCTTGGCTAGGATGCTCGTCTGCAATCTTCTCTCTCTGTCCCTAGATGCCAAGCCAAAGCTACCAGTTCCTTGTCAAGTTAAATCTCTAGGAAGACTTTTATGAAGGATAAAAGGAACTTCTTTTGAAGGTGCTTAAAAAAGTCTCATCACAGCTGATTGTGAATTAAAGATATATTGTGGAAAAACATGAACATCCTTCCATTTGGCATAATTTAAAATGTATTACAAAATCTAAGAAGTGATGGGACAGTTATGTTATGGTCCCAAAAAAGGTTGTCTAAAATTCCAGCACAGGTGAGAAAAGTAGAGAATTCTTCTGCTGTTACTCTCTTTTACTTTACTTTGGGGGGAACACTTCTATGTGTTTAGCCAGTGGTGCAAAGCTGCTCATGTTTTACATAGCTATGATTATTCTGACTATACGAGGTTATAAAACGTCTTTTCAGGTAACCTATAGTAGTCACTTACAAACTTAAAAATAAATTAATTAAAAAGACCATCAATGAAGCAAATGCATGCCAAGGATGGGAAGAGGCAGAAGGAAAAGCTCGGTCACTTTGTTGAGCCCCAGAAAGCTGTGGCTCTGGTTTGTGAGAGCAGCAGGGTTAGGCTCTAGATAGGACAGCCCATGGGTCCTGGGTGACTTTTTGGGCCTTAAGAAAAGGAAGAAGCAACATGCTTGCTTCCACTTCACCCATTTTCAATTTTCTGGAGAGCTGATGACCACCTCCCCAAGTCCTCAGAGGGCTGTATAGGGCCCCTGGCTGCTGTCTTGGCAGGTGGGGTTAGAAATTCCCACTGGTGTTTGTAGACTCTGCTTATGCCATGATATTTTTTTTTAAAATATTTTATTTATTTATTTGAGAGGTAGAATCACAAAGAGGGAGAGACAGAGAGAAAGGTCTTCCATCTGCTTGTTCACTCCCCAAATGGCCACAAGGGCTGGAGCTGAGCCAACTGGAAGGCAGGAATCAGGAGTTTCCTCCAGGCCTCCCATGCAGGTGCAGGGGCCCAAGCACTTGGGCCATCTTTTACTGCTTTCACAGGCCATTAGCAGAGCTGGATCCGAAGAGGAGCAGCTGGGACATGAACTGGCACCCATATGGGATGCTGGCACTGCAGGTGGAATCTTAACCTACTACACCACAGCACTGGCCCCCCATCAGCCATGATTTTTATATGAGCATTGAGTTGGTTAACTGTACTCTGCTTACCCAGCTGTAAGAGATGGCTGAGTCATTGGAGAGCTTTGTCCCATGCCATTGAGGCATTGCTAATAAGATAGAGTTGACCTAATGCGATTCCTGTGGAATTATGGAGAATTAGGGAAGAATGACTTGTTGTAATTATGCTTTTATTTTTTATTAAGGAAAAAAAGTTCATTCATAGTGACCTGGACTAAAAGACCCAGGTCTTCAATGATCAACATCAAATAATTCTAGGTCAATGATCTCATAACATTTAGGACTGAGGTTTTAAGGCTCATTTAAGGTAAAATGTAGGATCATTTAAAATCTTGTAGACCTTGACTTTTCCTTTTTTGAAATTTTTACTAGTCTAGTTTTCATTTTATTTGAAAAGCAGAGGTGAGAGGAGAGGGAGGGAGACAGGAAGGAGAGAGGAAGGGAGAGACTGAGAGATCGAGAGATCAAGAGATCTTCAGATCTTCCACCCACTGGTCCACTTCCCAGATGCCTGCAACAACCAGGTCTGGGCCAGGCTGAAACCAGGAGCCTGGAACTCCATCCAGGTCTCCCATGTAGGTGGCAGGGACCCAAGTACTTGGGCCCTCCCCAGCCAGGATGTGCATTAGCATGAAGCTGGATCAGAAGCAAGGTAGCTAGGAGTCAAACCAGGCACTCCTAAAGGGGATGCGGGCATCCCAAGTAACAGTCTAACTCACTCTGCCAAACACCTGTCCCACAAACTGGGACTCCCCCACCAGGAGCTACTAAGGACCTCGTTCCCAATTACATTGAAGTTGTCTCTGGATGTGGTACAGTCAGCAAAGAGCTCAGCTACCCTAGCCGAGATCACTTGGGGGTGTAGCTCAGGAAGTAGCATGAAGATAATTCATCTTTTTTTCTCTTTTCTAGATGCAGCTGAATTAATCATAGTACCCAGAGAACTATTCCCTTTTGCTTAAAATAGTGTCAAATTTTCCGCCCGAGTCTTCCATGAATAGAGTCAATTTGACCTCACATTAGGACAGGGCTTTGCAACCTGGAGAGGATGCTGTCTGCGTTTGCTTCTCTGCAACCTGTCAGCCTGGGCTCTTGGGCGTTAATTTGTTCCTCCATAAAATGGAATGGAGGCCGGCGCCGCGGCTCACTAGGCTAATCCTCCGCCTTGCGGCGCCGGCACACCGGGTTCTAGTCCCGGTCGGGGGCCGGGTTCTGTCCCGGTTGCCCCTCTTCCAGGCCAGCTGTCTGCTGTGGCCAGGGAGTGCAGTGGAGGGTGGCCCAAATACTTGGGCCCTGCACCCCATGGGAGACCAGGAGAAGTACCTGGCTCCGCCATCGGATCAGCGCGGTGCGCCGGCTGCAGTGCGCCGGCCAGGGCGGCCATTGGAGGGTGAACCAACGGCAAAGGAAGACCTTTCTCTCTGTCTCTCTCTCTCACTGTCCACTCTGCCTGTCAAAAAAAAAAAAAAAAAAAAAAAAAAGATGCTCATCATTTCCTTCAGGAGATTTTAGGGGAATTGTTTAAAGACTGTTTTTAAATGTTCTGAGTAATGCAATTAGAAGGCAATGGATATGAAGGAATTTTTGAGAAGAAATTTGTTTAATATCACCTCCCAAGTTCTTCAGATGATGTTTAAAAGTGAAAATTAAGAAAATTTTTTGAATTTATTTTCATTTTATTTGAAGAATGGAGGAGAGAGAGAGAGAGAGAGAGAGAGAGTGAGTGTGTGTGTGTCTTCCAGCTGCTGGTTCATTCCCCAGACAGCAACAACAGAGCTGGCTCAGGCCAAAGCCAAGAGGCCAAAACTTAATCCAGATCCCTAAAACGAGTGTTAAGGACCCAACTACTTGAGCTATGATATGGTTCTACCAAGGTGCATATTAGCAAGAAGGTAGATTGGAAATGGAGGAGCCCATATCAGCCAGGCACTCTGATATGGAGTTCAGGCATCCCAAGTGGCACCTTAACACGGCTGTGTCAAACACCCACACCTAGAATGGCTTTGGCTCAGGGGGGCTATATTTGGAGAGGAGCTGGGACACGTTTCTACGACTGCAGCTTATACACAGGAGAATGATTCTTGACCCTGTTCTGAGGTTTGAACAATGTTTGAGTCCTATAGTGAAAGATACATTTTAAAGTTAAGAATCATTAAAGCTTTTTATGGAAGTTCCTGTATTCTTTTGGTCAGAATAGACTGGATATTTACTTCTATGTAATAATACAATCAATGCTTTAGTATACAGTTTTCTCATAAAATAACTCATGTATTTATTTTTTCCTGCAGACAAAACGTGTGGAGTTTTATCCCATATTCTTGACTGCATTGTGGATTGCTGGATGGTATTTCAACCAAGGTAATTCTAAAACACAGTCAATTTTGTTCCAACATGACCATAGTACTTAAAACTACTGAGTAGCAGATATGCAACCATATAGCTAGTGATCCTGGAAAAGATTTTAAATGTCTGCTTTGTTCCAAACAGAACTATCTTCCAGATATTGTCACTTTGGATTCATTTTTATTTAATTCAGTCATTTTTTTTAAATATTGGGACAAACTTATACGGGGCACTCAAGAATGAAAATGATAGAATCTTTGTCTTTCAATATAATAGTCTAATTCCATTGAAGGAACAGGACAGAATTAACAACTCACCCTGCTAATTATAGTTAATATTTATTGAGTCTTTACTATGTGCCAAGTGCTATTTTTAAATATTTTACATGTATTTCCCATGTTATAAGATTAAAAGCCTTCATATGAAGTAAAATCTGTAATTATTTTCCTACCTTACAGATGAGGAAAGTGAGGTACCAACAGGTTAAGTTATTGGTGCAACTAGACATTCACCCCCTTAGGGGAAGTTCCCCTTTCAATTACAGAGCAGGGTCTATGGTATTTGTCCCAACAACCCATGAGCCATATTGTTAAGGATCCCCAAGGTGTGATGCTACTGTTAGATGCGGGAAGTCCACACACATCCACTTTCTGTTTCACAGGGGAATCCTCAAAGCTCTGCCTGTTTGATAAGGAGTCAGACCAGCACCAGCTACCTTAGTTGGGAAATCCAGTCCGCTTGCCTTCTGGTAACTTTCATGGTCTCATTTGTATCTGCACTTGATTGCTAAGATTTAAATAAACTCAAATCCAGTGGCTTTCAGTGGAAACCCAGTTGTTTTGTTTCTTGTAATTTTCACTCTCAGCTGAGAAATTTCAGATAAAATGTCCTTTAGAGAAAGACCTTTATTCCAACTCAAACTTTGGTCTCTTAAGGGCATGAATGAAAGTAAGTGGTCCTTGTCATGTAAAAGCACATGAATAAGAAAAGTGCCTTTTGATAATGTGACTTGGTCTCTGTCACTGACTCTGTGGCTTTTCCTGTCATGGGCTGAATGAGGCCAACTACCTGTTGGAAAAGAATTGCTTGGGGATTGTGTCGGAATTTTCAGCCTTTCACATAAGTTGCCTACTAATTGCTCTGAATGGTTCTCACGGTTCTTACTGACTTCATGGAAGTCAATGGGAGGATTCAGTAGATGGTAGATAGGGATAGGAATTAATTCTCAAACCCCAAAGTCAGATTCCTTTCCTCTCCCAGCTGTTTGCTGGGTCCCCTCATTCTCATCCTTCAGGCCCTGATGTAAACATCAGCTCTCAGGAGGCCTTCCCTGGCCCTTCCCAAAGGACACTTCCTCCAGCTCCTCTCTGTCCCACCACTCTGCATTTCCTTCAAGACACTTTCAAGTCTAGATTGTCTTCTCATGTTTTTCTTTACCTGTTGGGCATCCTTGCTGATAGAGTATAAACTCCATAAAGGCAGGAATCTTGTATCTTTTTCACTGTTAACCCGTAATACCTTGTATATCAGGAGATTTTCAAAAGTTCATGGAAATTCTGGCTGCTCCATTCTGCTCCAATTCTCTATGGCCTGGGGAGGCAGTGGGAGACGGCCCAAGTCCTTGGGCCCCTGCACCCACGTGGGAGACTTGGAGAAGGCTCCCAGCTCCAGCTGTTGTTACAGCCATTTGGGGAGTGAACCAGTGGATGGAAGACTCTCTCTGCCTCTGCCTCTGTGTAACTCTGACTTCCAAATAAATATATAAATCTTAAAAAAAAGTTCATGGGAAATGCATATTATGGAAAAATATGCATGGATTTCAAAAAATTTCTCTATCAAAATAAACGTATCTGTTATTGTATCTGCCCACAAGATTTTTGAAGTCCCCTTGCCTAGTAGAAATTTAGACAAATCTGTGACCAAGTATAATAATGAATTTAATTTTTAAAAAGATTTATTTTATTATTTATTTGAAAGGCAGAGTTGCACACATACACACAGACAGATAGACAGACATCTGCTGGTTCACTCCCTCAATGGCCGCAAAGCCCGGATCTGGGCCAGGCTGAAGCCAGGGGCTTGGAACTACATCCAGGTCTTCCACATGAGTGCCAGAGCCCAAGTATTTGGATCATCTTCTGCTGCTTTTCCAGATGCATTTGCAGGAAGCTGGCTCAGAAGTGGGGCAGCTGGGACATAAAGTGATGCTCATGGGACATTGGCGTCACAGGCGGCAGCTTGAACTGCTGTGCTGGACTCAATGTGATTAATATTATGTGACATATCACAGTCCTGCACATAGACTCCGAGTCTTTGCAAGAGGGCCCTGGAAATGTGTATCTGGTGTGTAGGAAGACAGAATGTCCCTAACATAGGGAAGACATTGATGTTTTTCATTGGCTGAAATATCAGAATATCATACGTTAGTCTACATTTCTTTCTGAGAGAAAATATACATTTCACAACATGCAGAAATCTCAAGTAAGCTTTGACAGGCATGCAGATCTGTGTGACCGAAATCTCTGACAAGACACAGGACATAACTACCACGCAGAAGGTGTCTTCCTGCCTCTCCAATCCGTCTTCATCCTCACTTCCTTCCAGATGCACGTGCTGTCGTGATTTTGTCCTCACTTGTCCACTTCAGAACATCACAGAACTGGGATGGTAGCCTGTGTACTCCCGTGCTACGCTTCATTCGCTAAGGAGAATGCTTTTGAGACTTGTGGTGTTGTTTCTTTTCATTTCTGTGTAGCACTCCATTGAATGACTCTACCAGAGCTTGGCTGCCCACTCTCCTGTTGATAAGCTAGTCTGTTTCCAGTTTTTGGCTGATCTGAATGAAGCTGCCATGAACATTCTTGTTCAGCCTTTTTTATGGATATGTGCTTTCTTTTGTTTTTTCTTTTTTTTTTTTAAGATTTATTTATTTGAAAGTCAGAGTTACACAGAGAGAAGGAGAGGCAGATGGTTCATCTGATGGTTCACTCCTCAATTGGCCGCAACAGCTGGAGCTGAGCTGATCCAAAGCCGGGACCAGGAGCTTCTTCTGGGTCTCCCATGTGGGTGCAGGGGCCCAAGGACTTGGGCCATCTTCTACTGCTTTCCCAGGCCATAGCAGAGAGCTGGATCAGAAGTGGAGCAGCTGGGTCCCGAACTGGCACCCATATGGGATGCCGGCGCTTCAGGCCAGGGTGTTAACACACTGTGCCACAGCACTGGCCCCATGGATATGTGCTTTCATTTCCCTTGGGTAAAACAATAGGAATGGAATTTCTGGGCCAAATAGGATGTTCAGTTTTCAAGGAAACTCCCATAGCTTTTCCTGAAGTGATCATCCTAGTTTGCATTCTGACTAGTGGTATGTGAGGATTCTTCAAATGTGCTACATCTTCACCATTTTGTGTTATTGAACTTTGTTGGTTTTAGCCTAGAAAGGTGGGTACCATATCATTCTATGAGGGCACTTTAAGACATTTCTGGAAAAAAGAATTCAAAGACAAGTTTATTTTTTGAGACAAAATTTTGAAATCTATGGATATGCAAAGTATGAAAAACTATGCACGGACTTCAAAGAATATTTTTTGCAGCGAAATAGACTTGTCTCTTAATTCCATTTCTATGAATTGTTGTTTGAAGTAAACTTATAGTTGTAAGTGGCAGTTTGTTGAGGCTGAAAATTTTTCTTAAAAGTTTATATAGTTGAATGGCTGTGTGTGTGTGTGAGAGAGAGAGAGAGAGAGAGAGACAGAGAAAGAGAAAGAGAGGGAGAGAATCTTCCATTTTCTGGCTCACTTACCTAGGCTGCTACAGCCAGGTCTGAGCTAGGCTGAAGCCAGGAGCTAGGAACTCCATCCTGGCAAGGACCCAAGCACTTAGGCCATCTTCTGCTGCCTTCCCAGGCATGGTAGCAGGGAATTGGATCAAAAGTGGAGCAGCAAGAGCTTTGAACTAGCACTTTTAAATGGGATGCCAGTGTTGAAAGCTGTGACTTAACCTGCTATGCCACAACACTGATTCCAATGTGGACCTACATTTTTCCTGTAATTCTTGGCAGGTTTATGTATCTTTCCATATGAATTGTCTATTCAAGTATTTTGCCTATTTTTTAAAAAGTTGATTTATTTATTTTTACGTATTTGAAAGACAGATGGACAGATAGAAAGAGGTAGACAGAGAAATAGTCAGAGGGGCTGGCGCTGTGGCAAAGCCGGTAAAGCCTCCACCTGCAGTGCTGGCATCCCATATGGGCGCCGGTTTGAGTCCCAGCTGCTCCACTTCCAATGAGCTCTCTGCTATGGCCTGGGAAGGGAGTAGAATATGGCCCAAGTCTTTGAGTCCCTGTCCCCGCTTGGGAGACCCGGAAGAAGCTGCTGGCTCCTGGCTCCTGGCTTTGGATTGGCGCAACTCCGGCTGTTGTGGCCAATTGGGGGAGTGCACCAGCAGATGGAAGACCTCTGTCTCTCTCTCTCTCTCTGCCTTTCCTCCTCTCTCTGTGTAACTCTGACTTTCAAATAAATAAATAAATCTTAAAAAAAAAAAAAGAGAGAGAGAGAGAGAAATAAGAGAGAGATCTTCCATCTACTGATTCACTCCTCAAATGCTTGCAAGAGTCAGGGCTGGGCCAGGCTGAAGCCAGCAGTCAGGAACTCCATCCAGGTCTCTAGTGTGGGTGGCATGGATCCAAGTACTTCAGCTATCACCTGCTGTCTCCAAGGTTGTACATTAGTAGGACGCTAGATTGGAAGCTGAGGTGGGACTTGAACCAGGCATTCTGATATGGGATGTGGGTTTCCCAAGTGGCAACTTAACCCACTGCACCCCAATGCCTGACCCCTATTTTGCCTGTCTTAAAAATTAATTTTTTTCTTTTTATTATTGAATGATATAAGTGCTTTATATGTTTGGGACACAAGTATCTGGCACATGGGTGTTTGAGTAGCTTACTAGTAGTCTCCACACCAAGTTTAGAAAGTCTGCTCTCTTACTCTGTCCTTCTCTTTCCCCTCTGCAGTTGTTGCTGCTTGCCTGGGTCTGGTTTACATCTATGCCCGTCAGCGGTACTTCTCTGGATATTCAGAAGCTGTTCAAAAAAGGTAAGAAGAACCCAGTACTTGAGTATCTATGCCACAGTAGCAGGCGAAGTCTGTATTAGCTTCCCATCGCTCAGCGTGCTTAACAGTACCGAGAGTTGTGATAAAGGTGATGACTGCTGCCCCGTGTTTGCCAGGCCATACCCAGTTATGTGTGAGCTGGGAAAATGCAAGTGTGAAACTCTGCACCACCAAAGGTGGACGCTTGAAGTCTATGCAAAAAATTGGCATTGTCTCTGGAAAGTTACCAAGGAAATAATTCTGCCCAACCCTGAAAGCCTTTGAATGTTGTAGGGAGCCATGGGCCCCCCCAACTGCCAGGCAGCCCCTTGCCTTTGGGTGATGAACAGAACTTTTCCAATGGCCAAAACATGGAACATGGACATTCCGGACCATGTCAACCATGCACAGGCTACACTAGGCTCCCAGGGAACCTCACCGTTGCAGCCGCTGGTTACTTCTCTCCCTCATGTCCACCTTGCAGGATGACTGGCTTCCTACTGAGCCTGGGGGTGCTGGCTCTGTTGGCTCTCCTAGGCGCCCTGGGGATTGCAAACATTTCTGGATGAATACCTGGACATCGACATTGCCAAGAAGCTGGGGTGGCACTTCTGATTGCTCCTTTTCGCTTCACTGTAATGCCTGCACCTTGGTGTCATTACTGAAGGTACTATGGTGTCACTGGTCAATTAAAAAAAAAAATTAAAATCTTTTTAAAAAATGGCTTTGTAGAAACACACCCTATGGAAAATAACTTCCTGTTTAAGAACTGAATTCATCTGAGAGGGTGGGGATGTGCACATCGCTAGTGGGTTTGCGGTAGGGCTCTGGTCTCCGAAGTCCCTACGTAAGTCCTGACTGGGTACGTGTGGCTGAAGCAGTCTGACCCATGGGCTCTCTGTGGGCTCAGACACAGCCTGCCTCCAAGATGGCTTCTCCCTTGATGGGGAAGACTCATGCTGATAGGCAGCCAAGCCCACTGCGCTAATTGCAGGAAAGCAACAGATGGATGCTCATAGTGGAAGTGAGACCAACACAGCGTCGCCAGAATCGTCCATAATAGGACAAAACAAATCTGTCTGTGAAGATGTACTTTATAAGCGAGAACAGGGAAAAAAGGTGTACCAGGAAGGTGCACCATTGCAAGGAACCACCCAGGGACCAGACTGGGGAGAAGGTCATGCCGCAGACTGTGGGATCTGGGCTGGTTTTGTTTGTGTCCTGTGTCGTGGGCTGTGGGGCAGAACCCCAGGCAGTGGTTTTGACTTTGGGCTACAAACCATTGTCTGGCCCAGTGCAGATGACTCATTTTCATTTTCTTCATCTGTAAAATGGGACTGAATCTGCCTCCCAACCTTCAAAGACTTCAGGAAAATGGAATCACGAACCTATGAAGACATTTTAAAGTTAAGAAAAAACAGCCTTCTGTTCATTTTTTCCATAGAAAATTGGGCAACCTTGAATCTGGCGTGAACATTTTCAGGGAGCCGTTTACTGGAACTTTTCTTCTTTGTGGCTGCAAGGGAAGTAATGAAGGCCATGGATAGCAGAAATAGAAATCAAAATGTTTAAATCTAGTGTCTCCACAGCAGTGGGGAGAAGGGGTAACAAGCCTCTTGCACCCTAGAGAACAGAACTAACTATCTCATGGTAGGGTTGGGTGTTGTGGCTTAGCGGTTTAAGCTGCTGCTTGGGATGCCTGCATCTCATGTTGGAACACCAGTTCAAGTCTCGACTTCTCAGTTTCCAATCCAGCTTCTTCTTAATGCTCCTGGGGAGGCAGCAGAGGATGGCCCAAGTACTTGGACCCTTGCCATCCATGTAGGAGACCAGGATGAAGTTCGGCCTGACTCAGCCCTGGGTGTTGTGGCCATTTGGATGAAAGATCTCCTTCTCTCTCCTTCTCTCTCTCTCTCTCTCTCTCTCTCTCACACCCTGTCACTTTGCCTTTCAAATAAATAAATACATCTAAAAAAAACCACAAAGTATACTGAGAATGTACTAGTTGGGGATGGGGACGTGGGGATCTGAGCCCAGCAACCCCACTCCTACTCATTGGCTGTTTGTTGGTTTTAGACCAGGCACCCATCAAGAAGAGGCTGCAGAACAAAGTGAAGTCTAGGGAGCCAGACCCAACCTTCCCTACTTGGCTGTTCTACTCTCACACCTTGCAGCTCTCTGCCCCTGTTTTCTCTTAGATACAATCAGGCCAGAGTTTACTCTGGAATGGTATGGGTCTGTAGTCTTTCCGCTTCGTACTGTTATCAGTTATGTCTTATATCATGGCATTTTGGTTGTTTATATGTTGAAGACAATGAATGATGACATAGTGCAACCTTAAAGGCACAACAAGTACTATACCATCATGTCCTTTGGAAGTGAGAAAATAACTCTCCAAATCTTACAAAAAAGGGTTCATAAATGATTTCTATTTTGTACCTAAATTGGTTCTGGCCTATGTAAACACTCCTTCCCCTCCACACACACAGTTTGGTAACATGTGGAAATATGCGTATAGCAGGCCCTCCAGGTTTTGTATCTTTAAACATTGGAAGAAGAGAATTTATTTTCTTTATTCTAATTCCATTGTCACCAGGCAACCTCTTGATTGCTTTAATTCCTATTAGATTTGGCTACAGCAAAGATGCTGGCCAGAGAGATATGTGAGTTTCTGATCAGATAGACAGTTATGGATACATTTTTATATTAGTAAGTTGACCAGTCTTATTTTTAGATATCAGATTTGTTATCTCAAAAAGCCAATGCCATGACAAAAGGGATAGAGAGGCACTTCCCATAATAAGAGAGCCTTAAGAGGCATAAAAACCCAGTGGCAATATGAGCTGCTTGCTCAAACACTGGTTAGGAGAAACCAGCCATGGAAGACATTTGTGAGACAACTGGAGCAATCTGAGAGGGGAATAAGAATTGGGCAATAGGCCGGCGCTGCGGCTCAATAGGCTAATCCTCCACCTGTGGCGCCAGCACCCCGGGTTCTAGTCCTGGTCGGGGTGCCAGATTCTGTCCCGGTTGTTCCTTTTCCAGTCCAGCTCTCTGCTGTGGCCCGGGAGTGCAGTGGAGGATGGCCCAGGTGCTTGGGCCCTGCACCCCATGGGAGACCAGGAGAAGCACCTGACTCCTGGCTTCAGATCAGCGCGGTGTGCCGGCCACAGCGGCCATTGGAGGGTGAACCAATGGAAAAGGAAGACCTTTCTCTCTGTCTCTTTCTCTCACTGTCCACTCTGCCTGTCCAAAAAAAAAAAAAAAAAAAAAGAATTGGGTGATATTAGGGAATTAGGGTTAACTGTGCCAGGTGTGATAAGGACAATGTGTTCAGGGAAGGGAGTGTCCCTAATTCTTGGAGCTGCATGATGTGTTGAGGGGTGAAGTGGTTCCATGTGTATATCACCTGTTTTTTAAAATGATTTATTTTATTTATTTAACAGCGTTACAGAAAAAAGTAGACACACACACACACACACACACACACACACACAGAGGTTCTTCCATTCACTGGTTCACTCCCCAAATGGCTGCAGTGACCAGAGTTGCGCCAATATGAAGTCAGGAGCCAGGAGCCTCTTACAGGTCTCCCACAAGGGTGCAGGGGCCCAAGGCCTTAGGTCATCTTCCACTGCTTTCCCAGGCCACAGCAGACAGCTGGATTGGAAGTGGAGCCGCCGGAACTTGAACCGGCGTCCATATGGGATGCAGGCTGGGGCTTTAACCCACTGCACCACAGCGCCAGCCCCTATATCACCTATTTTGAAATGGTTGAACAAAATATATATGTGATGCTTTTATGGCCAAGTGTGAATGGTTATTGAGTCTAGCTGGTAAGTATGTAAGTATTCATTATACTATTTCAGCTTTTCTGATTGTTTGAAAATATTCAAAGTGAAAGTTTAGAAATCTAAAGAGTATTTAAAACCCAGAATCAAGTTCTCAGTAGCTGCTGAATTTTTGCATTGTGTGCTGTCGGTTTGATGTGGGATCCAGCAGAACTGACACAGCCTTAGCCATTACTGCTGCCCTGGCACTACTATCCTGGATGTGGGAAGGGACACTGGCCTGTGGTAATGACCTCTGTGTAGAAGCTGCTGTCCTTGGAATTGAAAACAAAAAGGGAAAGAGAATGGAGGAGAACACGGAAAAGAAGAACAAAAAGAGGAAAAGGACGATCTGAAGACACGGAGTGGGTGCACAGTGAAGACGCCCCCATCCTACGCCAGAGTGCCTGGGTTCGAGTCCTGGCTCTGCCTCCTGACTCCAGCAGACCCTGCGAGGCAGCCGTGATGGCTCAGTTACTGTGCTCCTGCCTCTCACGTGAGAGCTCTGGATTGTGTTCCTGCCCCCTGGCTGTGGCCCTGGCCCAGCTCTTGCCATCACAAGTATTTTGGGAGTGAATGAAAGGAAGAAAGCTTTCCCTTTGCCTCTCTAAGTTTGAAAAAGGAAACAACAGGAGAAATCCCTGGTGACACAGAGAGGTAGCTCTGCTCTGTTCTTAGGTATTTTTTCCTTCCCTGTTTTTCTTTAGGGGTTGGAAGTGGATGTGGTGTGGCCAAAAAGTTGTGAATAAGCCAAATATCAGGTCATTTGCTTCTCACTCCTTTTTTCAGCCAATCTTTTTGAAAAGAATGGCCAATGGCAAAAACAGTATATCGAATGCTTGTGAATGTTCTTTTATCAACAACACAATCCATCTTTCTCTGTGGCGTGGGTGACTTCCTGGGGAGGTGTTCATTCTCTTCTCCTCCCTCCCCCACCACACACTTGCTGCACCGGGTTTTTTTTAATTTATTTTTGCTTTTTTAAAAAAAATATTTATTTATTTGAAAGGTAAAGTTGAGAGAGAGAGAGAGAGAGAGAGAGAGAGAGAAATTGATCCTCCATTTGCTGGTTCACTCCCCAAATGGCTGCAATGACCAGGGTAAGCCGATCTGAAGCCAGGAGCCAGAAGCTTCTTCCAGGTCTCCCATGTGGGTGCAGGGACCCAAGGACTTGAACCATCTTCTGCTGCTTTCCTAGGTACATTAGCAGGGAGATCGATCTAAAGTGGAGAAGCTGGAACTTGAACTGGCACCCATATGGGGTGCTGGCCCTGCAAGCAGTGGCTTTACCCTCTACGCCACAGTGCCGGCCCCTGCACCAGGATTTTATAAAGGTCTGAAAGATTAACACACAGGAAACCATTTTAAAGGAGGGAGAGGTTTCATTCATTCCATTCATCCAGTGCTGAACAAATTTTAATATAAATAAAGCCATGAGGCTTAATAGGGACTAAGAGAGCTTCATCTTTTAAAAACAAACTCTTAATTAATTTTTAAATTTGAAATGAGAAGAGATAGAAACACACACACACACACATACACACACACACGTATCTTCCATCTGCTGGTTCATTCCTCCAAATGCCCACAATGGCAAGGGTTGGGCCAGGTAGAATCAATGGGCCAGGAACTCAATCCGGGAGTCCCAAATCGATGACAGGGACCCAACTACTTGAGCCGTCATCACCTGCTGCCTCCCAGGATGTATGTTAGCAGGAAGCTGGAACTGGGAGTGGAGCTGGGACTCGAACCCAGGCATTCCATATGGGATGCAGGTGTTCCAAATTGTGTCCTAGCTATGGTGCCCACCCCCAAGCTCCATGTTTTTACTTCTATTGTCAGCTGCCCTCTGTGCAACCCCCTTCCCCTGCCCATGTCCAAGTTTATGTTCTGTATTATCTGGTGGAGTTCTAATCCCACAGCACGGGCCCAAGCCCAGGGCACAATGTTCTCTCCATGGTGGTATTTTCCCACCAGTCTGCAAACACAGCCTGCCCTGGGTAGAGGTGGCCTTTTCTTTCACGGTCAAGTTCATCCTTTCTCTTTGTGTATTTGTATTTGAAAACTTGCCTGTGTTTTGGACCTGTTTTTCTGATGATGACTTTATTCTGCAGTTGTTGGTTGTGCTTGACCTGTATGGTTTTGAAACATGTTATTTTCCTATGCTTTTCGGGGTCTGATGGGTGTCTCAGGACCTCCAGGGAGGTGGGGAGACAGGTGACACCTATCTGACTTATCAATGAAGGGCTCTCAGGAGGAGAGAAGCAAAGAGAGTAGAGGGAAACGACAGAACAGGGCAAGCAGCCCAGCAACAGGCCACCTTCAACCAAGTCCCAGCTGCTGTCTGGCCCTGCAAGGGCGCTCTGGAGCAAACTTCTGTCTCAGAGTGTGTCCAGACAAGTCAACGGGGCGCTCAGATCTGGAACCAGTTACTGGAGGGCCATAAACTTGTAAGCACTTCCGCCTCCATGGCTGGGCACAGGCAAAGCGGGGCTGCGGCTCTGAGATGCAGCGTGGCTGGCAGGAGGGAGGCAACGTGGGGAGGGGGTGTCCCCAATATATGCCTTGTCTTTTTTCATCCTGTCTTGCATCAACACATTCTTATTAATTGTTTAAGGCCCCCAAATAAGCTAGCTGGGACCCTGAATTGTTACGGTATGGAAGCTACAAGTGGACTCCAGGATGATGTCGGCAAAGTTCACATTTTTCCCTCCCTTTGCTGTGTCCGTCCAAGTATTACAGCCAATTTAGAAAGCTTCAGTTGTATGGTTAATGAAAAAGGCTGGGCATGATTGATTCCTACCATTAAATAAGTGTTTAAATAATGATATCAAAAAAGAGCTGCAGTTAATCAATTACAACCCAGGAATCGTATCTCTGCTCAATTAGGGTTGGGGGATCCAGCAAGCCTCCTAGACATGAATTATACTTTGGATTGATTCAGATAATGATCTTTTATTTTTTTTTCTTTAAAAGTGGTATGTCAACATCACTTTGTTTCTACATTTCAGAGTTCTGTACATTTCTTAAAAGGAAATAAGCAATGCTTAATGTACAAAGTAAAAACAGAAAACTAGAAAAATTTGAATAAAATGGAGGAACTTGCCATAGGTCATAGAGTACAAATTAGGAATTAGATGTTATCTGAAGTGCAATACCACTGCCGTGATGATGAGTTAAGGAATGAAATAAAAATACTCTATTTTAAACAAACAGTATATATATATATATATTTATATGTATATTTTTTACAGATAGTAGACCCAGTGATATCTGCAGTATTGTAAAAACTTATGTACAAATAACTTTTTTTTTAGACATTACATATACATCAGCACCGTAGTAAAAACAAAACCACTTTATTAAAATCTACCTCTCTATTCATTGGTCCCAGGACTGAGCACTTGGAGGGAGTTCTGAAGATATAATGGAGCCCCCATCTCTCCATCCACCACCTCCCGATTCTCATCATTGCTTGTATATTTATTTTTTATTCCTTGCAGGAAAAGGTAATCGGTGGAAATTTGTCTTCTAGTCATCATTTTTTAAAATTTCATCTGTTTCTATGCAGTTTCCACAACAGTGTCCCTCCTCACTTGGGGAGCCCAGGGTTACCCTACCATCACATTTTTGGAGAGGGTACACAGGTGCTGCTGGGCTCCCACCAACCTGGTACCTCGGGCCTCACCGCCTGCCCCTTGCCGAGCATAGCTAGGACTCTCAGCCTACACACAGCAGGTCAATGCCAACGTGTGCTGGCTCCACAGCCCTCGGCCCCCAGCTTTCTCCTGGAAGCCACCTTCTCAGCCAGCCCAGCCCCACAGGAGCCGGCAGTTAGGTCGTGCAGCAAGCTGGGGACAGGAGAAGAGCACACGCCACTCTCACTTGCTCAGGACAAAATAAATGCCACATGGTCTCCATCAAGGGACAAAGGACTAAGGAGATGGGCTTTGTGATGGTGGGAGAGGCTGATTCCTTCCAACAGATCCCAGGGAGCTGCAAAGAGAACAATGATACTGAAATTTCAAAGTAAATGATTTCTCCCAGTGAAAGGAACCGTGTCTTCCCCTCCTATCAACCAAATCTGTAAGGTGGAAAAAATGATTTTCTAGGTCTTTCCTCTCTTGGGTTGTTAGTCATCTTCCCAATGAGTAGGGAGGGATATGGGCGTGGCTGATTTCACCAACGGGCGCCAGACCTCCAGGCCGTTCTCTCTGGCTCTGTCCGACGTGGCTCCTTGGATCCCACGCCACAAACATCCGAGCAGCCCCCTCAGTTCCGGGCAGAGATACTCACTCAGTGCTACACACATTAGAGAACGAAGACTCCAGTGTTTTGCCTTTGCAGTTCAGGCGTCGTCTAAGTTCTAGCATTTACGTTCACTCTACTCAGGCCGCCTAGCAACAAAAGCTTCCTTGTTGCACGATCTGTCAGGACAGACATGTGAGGGCTGGGGCGCAGGCAAAGACGCAGGCAGCCAGGCCAGCAGATACACAGAATCCAGCAGGGGTCTGTCCCTGTGGCCACCACAAGTCGATGAGAACTACCCGGATGTGTCCGTGTTGTACCAGGCTCCCAAGAGGCTCTGGCTCAACCTAGAGTGACAGCCACCAGTGACAGCCTAGGTCACCAGCAGAGAGCTGCTCCAGATGGACCATTCTCCAACTCGGCTGGCTGTGCTTGTGAGGCGGCAGACAGCAGCAGGCCTCACAACTCCTGAGGGTCACTGCAGGCAGGAGAGGCACAGGCCTGTAGGATCCTTGGTCACCTCCATGTGGCCATCCCACCATCCCTCATGCCTAGCCCCCAAGACAGTAGCATGTCTGGAAGCTTTCTATTGCTTCAAACCCAGAGTTCATTGCATTTCTGACCTGTGCACTTGGCCTGCGCAATCGCCCGGCAGCCTCTGTGGGAATCTCTCTGGTGGAGGCTTGGTCTTGTGTCTCCAAAGCTGCGGCCTTGGGACGCAGGGCAGGAGGGGCTGAGGGGTACCTCACTTTGGCCATGGTTCCTCCTGGCTGGGGCAGTGCATGCCGGGCCAGGCGGTCACAGCGAGTGCGGAGCAGGTGGCTTTGGCTGGCTTTGCCTTTCCTCCCTGCCCCTCCACAGGCCTCCCCCTCTCACAGCAGGGATCTGCACAGCGTGTCTTCCGCATTGTGAAAATCAGGTGAAACAAGGCCAGCAGAGCTGTGGATTGGCACCTGGATCTTCTGTAGGCCAGCTGAAGTTTTGCTCAGTTTACGTGGGTCAAAAAAACAAACAAAAAACAAGGATGGGTCAACATCCTGTTTCTTTTTCACTTCTTAAGCTTTAACCACTAGTGTTGCAGCGCTGGGGTGGGGGCTGCTAACTAGGGGTTCCCAAACAACTCATCAAGCTCTTGCATCCACTCATCCCCGGGCCCGCCTTTGATGATGGAGTCTACGAGGTCCGCACTGTCAGGGAGGCCAGGGAAGGGTGCCCCAGCTCCTTCACCACTGTAATTATAGGACATATCCTGAGGGGGGTTTCGCTCGTATGCCTGGCCCTGGGTGCTGGGAGCAAAGCTGCCACTAGGGATCTGCTGCTGTGCTGGCGGCTGGCCAAACGCTGGCAAGCCCGGGACGCCCTGGCTCAGGCCAGACATGACCATTGGCCTCGCCTGGCCAGTGCCTTGCTGCCCGGGGAGCGGTGGCATCATCTGCCGGCCCACGGCGGCGGGGTTGAGGGTCCGCACTGCGCCCGTGTTTGCGTCCACGACTGATGGGCTCAGGCCCTGTGGGAAGTGCTGCTTGGTCAGTCTCTGCGGGCCAGCTTGCAGGGGGTAGCTGGCGCCGTTGTTGAACGGTCCCAATTCTCCACTAGTCCTCCCAGGCATCCCCTGCAGGCTCCTCTGTTGCCAGTTTTGTGCTCCTTGCTGGACTGTTCCCATAATGCTTTGAAGCCTTGGAGGGGCCTGGGACCTCGGCAAGGCCTGGCCTACTGGCCCTTTCATCTGTTGGTGCTGCTGGGTTAGGGCCGAATTCACCAACATGCTCTGACCGAAACCGCTCACCATCCCGACCCCCTGGCTGGAGGCAGGCTGCCTCGGTCCCTGGGCCTGGCTGTGTGTGATGCTCATGCCACTTTGGTTTGGGTGCTGCATCATTTGGGTCATTCCTGTGCTCATATTGTACATTCCTGGTTGGCTGGTGGGCGTGGTGCTGTAAGGGGCCAGTCCCATCTCCGACTGGGCTGCTGATGGGGTCATCGTCCCCGGGTTCTGGGAAGGCCCCATTCCCATCATGCCCGTGTTCTGTGCCATCAACCGTGACGTTCGAATGCTCTGGAGGGCCGCCTGGCTCCTCACGGCCACCATGTCCTGGGGAGAGCCTAAACAGAAAGACAGGACAAACACCACTTACTTTTCTCCATAACAACACACTGTCACAAGCTGGAATCTTCTTCGCCTTTATATGGAAGGATCTGACAAATAATGTTACTAAAAGTGATTGTTTTTCTGATTGTCACATAGGCCGACTGTGAATCATTTGCAAAGCACTGACAAAAATTAAAGTCACCCAATTCCCACCATCCAGTGAGGACCAGTGTTAACTCTGCTCTTAGTGGTATATAAATACACACACAAATAGTAATTGCACTGAAAAAAAGTGTTTCTATAACTGACTTTTCTGCTCAACACAGCCTGATATTATTCTTGTTGACACTTCAGAAGCTAATTGTTTCCCACTCTGTAGATATGATGTCATCTTCAGCCAGTAAGATATCATTTTCTCTGACGGTGAGTGGGAGTTCACCTCTTGGATGAAATTAATTTGAGAAAAAAATAAACAGCGGTCATTTTGCATATTATGTTCATGAAGTAGAACATGGTTTAGTAGAGAATACTACCAATAAAGACAATTAGGCCGGCGCCGTGACTCACTTGGCTAATCCTACGCCTGCAGTGCCAGCACCGTGGGTTCTAGTCCCTGTTGGGGCACCGGGTACTAGTCCCGGTTGTTCCTTTTCCAGTCCAGCTCTTTGCTGTGGCCTGAAAGGGCAGTGGAGGATGGCCCTAGTGCTTGGGTCCCTGCATCTGTGTGGGAGACCAGGAGGAAGCACCTGGCTCCTGGCTTCGGATTGGCATAGCATCGGCCGTAGTGGCCATTTGGGGGATGAACCAACAGGAAGGAAGACCTTTCTTTCTGTCTCCCTCTCTCACTGTCTAACTCTGCCTGGCAAAAAACAAAACAAACAAACAAACAAAAAAAAAAAACACAAAACAAAAACCATTAGACTGATTTCTTTTAAGACTTAAGATTTGAGAGGTTAAAGGTCATTGCTTCTGCCAAGAAGCTATTTTGACAGATGGGACATTGTCTGAGTCCATTCTGTAGATTCCCACACGCTCCAGATTCTCTGAATGATAATGTGTCAGTGCAGACTGGCCAGGTTCCGGAGCCAGAAGAGAAATCGTCCTGCTTCCTGCTACTTGGCAATGAACTTCATGTATTTCTGCAGCAAGGTCCACTCCTTTAAATCGGCAGTGACTATGTACTTGCTTTGGTGGGTTGCTAATGCAGTTTTAACGATGCTATTTAAAAGTGGGCCACAGGATCACCACCGAGGTACTCAACCTTAATTAGGGATTCAAGTGAGTCCTTCTTTACATGTTAGGAAATTTCCCAACCAGCCACGAGAATGGACATATCACCCGCAGGACACCAGTCAGTGTTGAGAAGGGCTGGCAGGTGCACAAAAATGGATTTGTCTACGTCTCCCTGCTAATGATTAAGTCTATGAGAAAAAGAAAAATAGTTTGTTCCTGGGTGTTTAAAGGCAATGCAGTGTGGGAGCCAATCAATATTATAAGCAAATTTGATCCTACCTGCACCTGTGATGAGAAACCAGCTGCCGGAGAGTCTAACCTTGCTAAACCTGGCACCTTGGCAGGTCACTGAGGCAGGTTTTTGTCTTACTGATGGGGTTATTGATTTCTAGGCAGCAAATGTGCCTCCACACTTTCTTCCTTTCTTAAAGAAAATTATGGGAATTTTGATTACGGCTGAAGTTTGTGTGGCTTGAGATCCATATCAGGCTGCACTGGGAAATGAAATGGTCACTGTGGGGGAGGCTGGAACAGTTAAGAGAAATCCCAAAAATGTTCCATTTTTTTTTTCAGCTTGCCTGTATCTATGTAATATTTAACATAGAAATCCAAAGTTCCTGGTTAAACACTTGATGGTGGTATATTCTCATAATCTTGCTATAAAGTTTTGTGACCTTAATGACTACATTGGTATCGACTGCATGGCAAATTGGATCAACCACAGTGAAATGAGTTATTGAGTTGTTTATAAAAAAAAAGTTCCAGGGAAAAATATTGCTGACTCAGAGACGACTGGATAGACCCAAAGTACATAACCAGGCTGCTGGGTGCTGGGAGGAGAGGAAACGATTCTCATAATCTGCACATTTTTGTTGACTATTTGTCATGGATATGTTGAAGGACTGGAGATTGTCTGATTAATTTTTGAATGAGAGATACATTCCTTTATCTGTGGGGCAGAAACGTTTTAATAGTAATGACACGTTCATCCAAGCCACACAGTAGATGGCTGCCACCTAGATGTAATCCTTATTTTTAAAAAGAGGAAATTTAAAATCGGCATTCAGCACATTTTCAGCCTAAAAACATAAAATGACTGCTATAATCTAGTTTTGTACCTTCAGTAATTTTCAATAAAGGAAAAAATTCAAATGCAACCGAAGAACCAACTTGTCTTTACCTGATTACTATGTATGTCAAACACCAGACTACTTTTTATTCATTTATTTATTTGTTTTTGTCTAAAACAAATATTGTTGTGAGAAGCTGCAGTCCCATTCATTTTCTTGTCTTCCGGTTAGCATCACAATGTCAAAGAAAAGCTTCCATATTCAAATACAGGTGCTAACCTGCAGTTTTTCTCTAACAGGGTTTATGTTCTACTTTCACTCACAAGAAGCCCATGTTGCTGAAAAATAAGCACATAGGCACAGAACTGGATGAGGAAAGCTACCATGGGACATTTGGAAAATGTTGCTGAGAGGCCAGCAGGGTCCCCCAAGCTCTCTCTGGACGGACCCCTTATCTATTAATCTGTTGCTTTCCGACATGGGAATCAGTCTACCTGGGGTGTCAGTACAATTCATGAGAATACTGACACTAATAATGATTCCATTTCAAACCAATCAGCTCAGGGTCCCAAGACTGTCACCCTGGCACAGGGCTTCTGCAGAGCCAAGTTTCTAGGACGATTTCCCGAGGTTTAGAGTTACAGAATAGTTCAAGGAGTAGCATTCAGAGTAGCTCATTCAAACATAGCTACCCCTGGGCACCTGTTGGGGGAGGAGTCCCAGGATTCCCTTGGGAATCCCAAAATCTGTGGCTGCTCAAGACCCTTATGTAAAATGGTGTAGTATTTGCCCCTAGCAATCCTTCTGTACCTTATAAATCATCTCTAAATTGCTTATCTTACCTAATACCACATAAATGGCATGTAAATAGCTGTTTCGCTGCATAGTTTATGGAATAATGACAAGAGAAAGTCTGCACGTGTTCAGTACAGATGTGATTAAAAATACTTTTGACACAAGGTTGGTTGAATCCAAGGTGCAGAGGTCCGAGTGCACAGATGTTTGTCTATGTCTGTGTTGTGTACGGCAGAGGAATGATTAAGTTTGGGTGAATCTCTTCTAAAAAATGAATAAATGAGTCACGAACCCAGAAAACTCAAGGGACATTATGCTGGGCTTGTCAGAGTTTATGTTTTTAATTAATTCATAATTTGAAACAGTGATTTCCAAAGTGTGGCCTCCTAGCCAGCAGAATCGGCAACTCCTGGGAAGTTGCTAGAAATGCAGATTCTCGGGCCCAGGCCCCGCCCACTGACTCAGAGACAGCGAGACTGCCGGTGCTTTGACAAGCTCAGTGGGTGATTCTGATGCAGGCTGAAGTGAGCGAACTGCAGTTACACAGGAGAGCTCAACACCTGCAAGGAACACTATGAGGGAACCTCCACATGTTTGCGGAAAAACTGGAATTAGAAGATAAGGTTTCTGGGTGGGGGGCTGTTCGGTGTAGTGGAACACAGATTGGGATGATGGCATTACATAGCACAGCACTTGTCTTCAAGCCGCAGCTGGGCTTCTGATTCCAGCTTCCTGCCAATGCGCACCCTGGCAGGCAGCAGGTGATGGCTCAAGTAACTGAGTCCCTGCCACCATGTGGGAGACCTGGGTAGGGGTCCCAGCTCCTGGCTTGGGCCTGCCCACCATGGCTGTTGCAGGCACTTGGGGAGTAAACCAGTGGACGGTCACTCTCTCTCTGTGTCACTCTCTCTGTCTGGCTCTGCATTAGAAAGGAAGGATGGCCGGCGCCGCGGCTCACTAGGCTAATCCTCCGCCTTGCGGCGCCGGCACACTGGGTTCTAGTCCCAGTTGGGGCACCGGATTCTGTCCCAGTTGCCCCTCTTCCAGGCCAGCTCTCTGCTGTGGCCAGGGGGTGCAGTGGAGGATGGCCCAAGTGCTTGGGCCCTGCACCCCATGGGAGACCAGGAGAAGTACCTGGCTCCTGCCATCAGATCAGCGTGGTGATGGGCAGCGCCGGCCATTGGAGGGTGAACCAACGGCAAAGGAAGACCTGTCTCTCTGTGTCTCTCTCTCTCACTGTCCACTCTGCCTGTCAAAAAAAAAAAAAAAAAAAGGAAGGATGAAAGGGAGGAAGGGAGGAAGGAAGGAGGGAGGGAGGAAGGAGGGAAGGAAGGAAGGAGGGAGGGAGGAAGGAGGGAGGGAGGAAGGAAGGAGGGAGAGAAGAAGGATGGCTCTAGGAATGAAGGAGGGATGGAAGAAAGGAGGTAGGAAGGAGGGAGGGAAGGAGGAAGGAAGGAGGGAGGGAAGGAGGGAGGGAGGAAGGAGGGAGGGAAGGAGGGAGGGAGGGAGGGAGGAAGGAAGGAAGAGAAATGAAAAAGAAAGATCGATTTTTTGGGGGGTGCAAAAAATTTAATCAGATTTTTAAAAAATTTTGCACCAAAGTCAACTTATCCTTCAAATCCATTTTCCATGAACTTCCTGAAGCACCTGCCTCTGTAGGGAATGATGACTCTTCCCCACCCGGGGCAAAATGAGAGACACAATTCTCCAAGGAATATTGGCACTGCTCTAGTGCACAGAACACCTGTGCAGAGTTCAATTCTGCCTGTCCCTTCCTGTGGTGAGTAATGTGACACAAACGTCCCAGGCTGGACTGAAATGGCTACGAAGCCCTGGTGTTTTCACAGGCGATCCCAGGTATGATCTGACCCCCTCTCCGGGCAGATTCTTAAGGGGTAGGTAACATGTGAGGCAGAGAATGGGAATTCAGATTTCTGCTGCTAGATGAGGCTGGTTAGCCCCCTGAAAACTCCTTGGATAAGACTGGGAAGGGTCTTCAGTCTCTTCCTTGACCCCCTACGAAGACCCTCGAGGGCTCTCTCTCAGAGATGGAAGGAGCTGACACTCAAGTGCCTTTCCTATTTACAGAGGGTGGCCGTGGTGGCTTGCAGCACGCCTGCTGCTCCTGGGGTCATGATGGGGGATTCATACAAATGGCAGCAGGACCAGGACAACCCAGCAGGCCCCAAGGCCATGTTTGTCTTCTGCAGTCAGCAGAGACCAGGAAGGGGCTCTTGCAAGCTGGACTCTTCCACTCTGGTTGTCGGAAAGTGGGGTCTTTGTTCAGCTGACCTGATGGGATGAGCAAGAAAGTTGTGAAACAGGATTTTTGCCCCTGTGGTCACCAAGGTGATGGTTTTAGACATTGGGTCTGTAGGTATGTCCTCATTGGCTGTTAAACTCTTCAAACACCCTGCCCCTGTCTCTCCTCCCAGAACCACTCCGACCCCTCCCTGGGCCCACCAGCACCCCTCCGTGAAACCAGTGATCCAAAGCTTAATTCCTGGCACAAAGCTTAACTCGTGCCTGCAGCATTCCATTCTGATTGGCTGGCACTCTCCTCCTGCCGGTTATGACACTATTTTGAATATCACCCGGACATACATGCAGCTTATACGGCAACCCCACTGGCTACACATTCACTTACAGTTCAGAGCTGGACGACAGAAAGTGCAAGAGGTGTGCACTGGTCTCACCTTGAAACTGATTGACCTGCTGCACTGGGTATGGGTTCCGCTGCTGCTGGGGGTGCTGCCGGGGTAAATGTGATTGTTGCAATTGCTGGAACGACACAGGACAAGAGGGGCAGGAGGTGAGATGGGGAGAAGGCAGGCAACTACATATCCCGAGGAAGGCAGGGCAGGTTGGTTTCAGTTTTTGTTTGTTTAATAAACTTTGTCTTGTAGAATAATGGGCATAGAGGCAAGTGCACCAAGTGTAGAACGAACAGGTGCATGGATTTTCTCCAGTGAGCACACTCTAGGCAGCCGGCCCCTGGATCAGGAAACAGAACGTCGCTGGGATCCCCTCGTGTCCCTTGCAGCCACCACCCTCCCTCGCCCCCAGGGACACCCTTGTCCTGACTTGAGCAACATCAGTTAGTTGTCCCTGATTCTGTACGCTATAGAAAAGGATTCTATACAATGCTGCTTTTGTGTCTGGCTTCTCACACTGGCCACCGTGTCTGTGAGATGCTCCCTGCTGACACGCACGTGTGTTGCTTGTTCGTTCTCACAGTTGAATAGTATTCCATTATATGAAGACACCACAATGTTGCTATGCATTCTACCAGCGGTGGGCATTTAGGGCATTTCCAGTTGGTAGCTGTTAGGAACGCCGTGGCTGTTGGCGCCTGTCTGCATGTGTGGATTCACTGGCTCAGGAGGACCAGGTACTGAGGGAGGCAGTTTTGGCTTGAATGTCCCAACATCACAGCAATGTGGCGAGCGAGCTCAAAGTGACAAGCGACTCCTTTTTCGTGACCGAAATAGATGCTTTGGGCATACGAAGATGGGATCCTTAGGGTCTAGAAAAAAGGCTGGTCTTATTCCCATGAAGCCACGCTACTTGCAGCATACATCTCTACAAGTAAAATAGTCAGCACTGGCCGTGTTGGGGAAACCACGTGGGATTCTTCATCTACCAGGAGCCAGGAGGCCTGCGTTTTCATCTTTCTTCCCCCAGTCATGGGGATTCTGCACTGCTAGCCTTGTTAGCAGCAGACTGGGAAGGCTGTTATGATCATTATCCTGTTGTATGTGCAAAGGCAAGGAAAATAAGAGGGCGGTGGAGAGAGCAGAGAAAGCGGTTTTAGTTCTAGGTCTGCCGTCAAGTAGCTGCGTGACCTTCGGGCTGTCGGTTGACCTCCTTCCCTGCATCTACTGAATATTCATTAAGCACCTTTCAAGTGCAAGGGCTATCCAGAGCATAGCACAAGGTCCCTGCTCTTTGGAGAGTTCATTACAGAAATAACACACATCGACTGCTTCTTCACGCATGCGTTTATTTCTATTTCCTCTCCTCTGTTTGTTCCTAGGCAGTTCTGTAATCTCCTTTTGCTTTGTCTCTCCAAGGCTAGCCAGCTTTCTGGCAAACAACCACAAAAGCAGCTTCTGCACTGTGCCCTTACCCTGTGCTGCCTGCCATGGTGTTCTGTAGGAAATGGCTGAAATGACTGTGTAGACCTTTGCCGTGTAGACAAGAAACCAGGTGGCTCTTTTAGGCAGCAATGTAAGGGGATTCCTGAGAGCGGGCTGGGCACGGAAAAGCTTCTCCACAGCCAGACTTCCCACAGGAATTTTACCGCCCCTCTTACAACTACGCATCAGTTCTGGAGGCCTCCCCTGGGTTGGGTGTGGGCCCGGAGTCAGGAGCTCCCAGCCCCTCTGCTTCTCTGCAGCTCTGTGGTCTCAGATAAAGCACAGGAACTCCCTGGCCTCAGGGCTCTCATTTGTAAAACGCTGGGACGCCATGATCTCAAATGTTTCAGATCTGAAATTCTATGTTCTGGCAAACCGTTCTGAGTAGGTGAGAGGTGACACGCTCTGCGCTCTTGGAGAATAAGGCATTAAATGTTAACTCGTGCCCGCTTTCAACCTGCTTTGCTCTGATTTTCAGGTCCTCGGAGATTCATTTTAAAGTTCCCAAAGATATGCAGGATCCCAAATCTTTATTTTATGCCTCACCTGGGCTCTCAGGAAACCCATGTGTTTCCCGAACGGAAAGTGCTCAGACACTTTCGATGCTGTAGAGAGCAAGACGCAGTGTGGATAGGCTGATATTTAGTCTCAAACATGGTGGCCAGCGCCGTGGCTCATTTGGTTAATCCTCTGCCTGCGGCACCGGCATCCCATATGGGCACTGGGTTCTAGTCCTGGTTTCTCCTCTTCCAGTTCAGCTCTCTGCTGTGGCCCGGGAGGGCAGTGGAGGATGGCCCAAGTGTTTGGGCCCTGCACCTGCATGGGAGACCAGGAAGAAGCATCTGGCTCCTGGCTTCGGATCAGTGCAGTGCCGGCCATGGGTGGCCATTTGGGGAGTGAACCAACGGAAGGAGGACCTTTCTCTCTCTCTCTCTCTCTCACTGTCTGTAACTCCACCTGTCAAATAAATTAAAAAAAAAAAAAAAATACGGGAAGCTGCGAGCATACTACTGGTAGACCTCAGGGAGCTCCTGTAGCAATAAGCATGTTGCCAAGTGCAGGCGAGCTGCTACACTGGCTTGGCTGGCACTTGGGGCTGCAGCTCCTCCATGCACGGCCTGACACTGGGGCCACGTGACAGGTCCCCACATACATGTGTGCAGAGAGCACTGCTCCCAAAGACTTTTACAGACAGCAATCATTTCATGGGATCCTCTAAACACTTACAGGAGGGGAATTATTAAAACCTAACATGGCAGAAAGAGGTTAGGTGGCTTTACCAAAGTCATTTTGCAAGCAGAGAAAAGATTCTGACCCTGAGTAACGAGAGCTTTCCAGGGGCATCCATCACCCATCGGGACACACAGCTGCTAAGGAGTTACATACACAGGCCCTTCACAAAATACATGGAAAATACCCTTAAAGACTAGGTTTATTTTGGTGCAAACTTTTTGAAATCTATGCATACGAGGGGCCTTCAAAACATTCGTGGAAAATGTATGTAATGAAAAAAATCATGCATGGATTTCAGTGCTTTTCTTTTTCTTTCTTTCTTTTTTTTTTTTTTCACCAAAATAAACTTACCCTTGAATCTCATTTTCCACAAACATTTTGCAGTCCCCTTGCACTCAGGTCACAGCTTCCCATTCTGCCATCTTCCCTGAGGGGCCCTGTGTCTGTCCGTGCCCAGGATCCTGAGGGGTGGTCCCCTTTTGTTCATGTTCCAGCGTGCTGTGTCCTCCTGACACATCGCCTCTCTCGCTCTTCTACCTCCCACCTTGCTCCAGAAGTGGGGTGGGGGCACCGCCTGACCTCACCGTGCAGGAACACTCCTCGGGCTGGCCCAGCGGTCTTCTTCCTGGCCCCTCTGACCCTCCCGCTGTGCCTTGGTGGCAGCACACGCCTCAGAAGCCATCGCTCAGAACATCAGGTGCACCTGCAGCGGGCGTCCTGGGATTGGCTGTGGGGAGGATTTACGAAGCCCAGCTTCTCTCTGCAGCTCCATTTATCACTGTCTGAGGGATATTAGCACGGTTCCTTGTCACACACCTTATGCAGGGTGAGAGGGATGGAGGTTTGTTTGTACAATAGCTGCCAGGCAGCCGACTGACCTTGGTGAAAAGGGAGATAATTACACAGCTGTTCAGGAACAAAAGCGAAAGCAGGGAACACGAGTGAACTATGCTCCACCGTACAATTTTTCTCTTTGGGGGATGACTGGTGTGACGCTGAACTGCTGTTCTTGGCTACTGGGGCCCTCCACGTGCCCGTGCCCCACACAGTATCTTGGCTATATGTGGCAGCAGATGCTTGGTACCGTTCCAAAAATGCTGATCCTATTAGGAACATTCTAGAAGGCTAACTATGAAGCAGAGATCTGTGGGGCCTTGAGCCCTAGATGGCACCCCGGTAGCTCTATAATCAAGAGCCTGCAGTGTGTTGTCTTTCCTTGTGCAGGCCCCTACAGGAGCCACCTGGGGGTCTCCTCTGGCCGGCCTCACGCCTTTCCCGGTGGGTAATACTACCTCAGGCACAGGCATCCCTGAAGGCGAAGCAGATGGAAGCAGACAGGGCCAGTGGGCAGGGAAGGTTTCTCTCAAAGCAGGAGGAATTCTACGGCAAGGGTGGACCCAGACACCAGTGGGCAAGGTGTATTTGTGTCAGGCCTTTCTTTAGCCTCCAGATTTCCTTTTAAAAAGCTGTCTGGAATTTTCTCTGGTTGGCACCGTCTCTGTGACCCCAAGTTCAGTCCGGTTTCCAGGTAGTTCTGTTGGCCCTATTGTTCTGCTGCTGCTCCAGGCCATGGCTCGGAACCAGTTCTATAAGCTCCTCCTCCATCTCCCCTACTGCCTCTTTCCTCCAAGAAACAAAGTTCTCCGAATTATTATTGTTTTTTTCATTCATGCTAGAAATATGTGGGCTTAGGGAGAAGGTGAGCTGGTCCAGCAGGTACTCACGATGCAGACCCCGTAGCAGAAATCAGGAGAGGAGTGAGGTTTGCGTCAAAGAAATGTCTCTGGCAAATGGGCCTTCAAGATGATGGCGGAAGGCTGTCCTTGAGGACTAACCTAACTCCTTATAGGAAAGGTGTCAATCCCGCAGGTGGTTCTGGGATTCCCAGGAAATGCTGGGCTGTGAGCATAGGACATGAACTGCGTGACTCCCTCACAGACGGCAGGTGCCCAAGAAATGCGCGCAGAGTGAACGAGTCATGCCATGGGGGCGCGTTACCTGCTCGGCCAGAATCTGCTGCTGCTGCTGCTGCTGCTGCTGCTGCTGCTGCTGCCTCTGCTCACGCAGGAACTGCTGCTTCTGCTGCTCCATCAGCTGGGCCCGCTGGTCAAGCAGCATCTGCTTCATGAGCGCCGCCTGGGGCTGGCTGCCCAGGAAGCCGGGACCCGCGGGACTGGTCCCGGAGACCATGCCGCCCGAGCCTGGGGGCACTGCGGGCTGCATGGGGCCGGAGGTCCGGGGGAGCCCCATGGGATGCTGCTCCTGGGAGGACGAGAAGAGACAGGAGACACAGTGACCCACTGCTGTTAGCATGGAGGCCCCTGGGCACGTGGGGCAGATGGAGGTCCCGGCTCATGGGCCTAAGGGTGTCATTTAGATCATCTCTATCAGACCTCCTGCAAATTCTCACACGGGGTCTTACCCCAGTGGAACTGGAGAGGCTACAAGGGGGACTTAATAGAGTATGGGCCTGGGGCATCTGAGACCCCGTCCAGTCTGATTCGGATGGGACTCACTCATGGAGGTAGACCGGTTCTCAACCAACATCTGCGTTCCTCCAAGGGTAGTCACCAAGCCCTCCAGCTGGGCTCACTGTAAGCCTGGACCAAGGCATCCTGGCCTCACCTGCTACGCCTTAGTCTTTCCTTGGCCAAAACAGATGCCTCTGAGCAAGTAGCAGAGACATTTACAGAGGCTGCTGGAGTTTAGGAGTCACCAGATCTGATATTTGATATTTGAGAGCTATGATACATGTTTAAAAATCCTGCTGGTCAGAGGCTGTTGATGGTGAGAACTGGGAATGTTTTACACTGACCAAAGCTGTGTAATTTTCCAGCAGCTTTACAAACAGAACCGAGGTGCATGGGTCCAGGGTGATTTACAGGCAAGGGGTTTGATTGGTTATCTGAATTCCCTATAGTAACTTTTTTTAAGATTTATTTATTTATTTGAAAGGCAGAGTTACAGACAGGAGAGGGAGAGACAGAGACGTCTTCCATTTACTGGTTTGCTCCCCAGATGGCCACAATGGCCAGAGCTGGGCCTATCCAAAGCAACGAGCCAGGAGCCAGGAGCCAGGAGCCTCTTCCAGGACTCACACATGGGTGAAGGGGCCCAAGCACTTGGGCCATGTTCCACTGCTTTCTCAGGCCATCAGCAGGGAGCTGGATCAGAAGTGGAGCAGCTGGGTCTCGAACCCGTGCCCGTGTTTGATGCTGGCACCACAGGCAGCGGCTTAGCCTACTATGCCACAGCACCAGCTCCTATGGCTACTTTTGAGGATTGGTACTTAGGGAAGGGAGGCAGCATGGTAAAAGACCTCATCTCACACTGCCCAGTGACTGCTGGAGGGCAAGTCTTTAGCAGCTCGCCAGCGTAGACCGTTAGGGGAAAATAGCTGATGGGAAGAATAGGTGACACTGGGGTTCTTTTCTAGCCACTTCCTTTCCTACTACACACACTTGGCAGTAGCAAGGATTGTCGGAATATTCTGCAGAAGTATTCTAATTCACCAATGTTTCAAGCAATCCATCTGATCCCAGAGGAGCTGAGTTCTGGGATGTACACACCTACACAGACAAACGCACGTCATCTTGTGAAGCCCTGTGATGAGAACGAAGTCGTAAGAACTGAATGTGGAGAACTAGAGCTTTATCCCAGCTGGACTTCACCGTTTCTCCTCTTGCTGCTTTGCTACCCTTTCAGTACGGGTCTTGTCAATCATTCAGGCAATTTCTTCTCAGAGTGTAGGGGTGAGGTTTATCTCCGTGCCTCCTGGACAGACAGCCTGGGTTGTATTCTCTACAGTGTGGGCTTGTTGCACACCTCCTCCCCGCCATTACCTGGTCCTGAGCCATTCCTGTGTCTTCTTCCCACCCATGGGTGCCCTGAGCTGTCTCTCCCTCCACTCAAATGAAACAGAGTAAGCAAAACAAAGCAAAGACAAAACTCTTTTTTTTCTTACCAGAACCAATAGCTCACTGAGTTTAGGTGGCGTGGGAGCTTATGCACAGCTGGTGAGGGGGGAGCCCCACCAGCACGGCCTGTGATTCCAAATCAGTAGCCCTTCCTCCAGCTCAGGCCCTTCTGTGTGACCACGCCAGAGCACACCTAGGAATTGCCTGGAGAGTAACTACCAGGGTCCTTCCACAAGGTCAGGGGATACGTCATCAGTTTACTTTGATGCCAAAACCCTCTGAAATCCATGACAGTTTTCCCACAACGCGCATTCTGCAGACTTTTTGAAGGTCCTTGTACGTAGCGCCTGCCTCCCGGAAATGCACTGCGTTCTGTTTCTCACAGCTCAGTGCCGCTGCTGCAATCCCTAAGTTTTTGTCTGTGTAGTCTCTCTGTAAGAGGACAGTTAGTCGGTAGGGAGCTAGGTATTGACGTTAGGGAACCGAGCTTACGCTGGAAAATGAGAGGGGTCTTTATGCCCTCCCACGGCAGGGATCCAGGTCTCCAGGGGTGGGATCCAGGTCTCTGGGGGTCGGTTCCCTCTTGCTCTAAGACTTGCTGTTCCCCCAGCCCTCCTTCCAATGGGATGGGGCTGCTTCCTGCCACCTTCAGACACACGGGGCTGATGGATGGACACGAAGGACTTCACACCCAGGGGTAGATACCTCGCCAGTGAGCAGGGTGGGTTTCTTCCCAGGCTTTTCAGGATGTTTGAGACGTTCTCGTTTTGATAAGGTGGAGAAAGTAGGAAGCAAAATGGGACCCTAGGAGGATGGGGAAGTTGCCCTCAGCTAGTTTCCCAGGGGGCTGGGCTGGCTGGGCTCTGCTTATCTTGGGCGCTGGGAGACTCTTGTTCTGTGTGTCCAGGGCCCACACAGCCAGGGAGTGCACCCAGAGAGGCCAGGAAGGCGTCCCCAGGCTGCTCTCCTCAGCCCACAGGCAGGGAGTGGCAGATGGGGTGTGACAAGGTTGACACATCCAGCCACTTTCTGCCCCCGTCTTCCTGGGGCCAAAAGAAACACTTCAAAAGCTCCGTGTCTGGTGGTGATGATGGTGGTGGGGACGGGAAGGGCGTACCCACTGGGACAGGCAGGCCACCACCTCCCAGGAGCGGGTGTTTCCCCAAAGAGAGCCTTTGTACTGCTTTTGCCTTCAGGCTTCCCTCTGGAAACCTGGGGAACCACGGGCAGGAGGGCCTATGTGCATTGTTAAAGGGCCGCCCTGCAATGGAACCAGCTCCCACGGGAGCCAGTGAGGACACACACCTTGCCCTGCGTGCCACGGGAGCCAGTGAGGATGCGCCCTGTGCCATGCGTCCCACAGGAGCCAGTAAGGACGCGCCCCGGGCCCTGTCTCCCACGGGAGCCAGTGAGGATGCCCCCTGTGCCATGCGTCCCACAGGAACCAGTAAGGACGCGCCCTGGGCCCTGTCTCCCATGGGAGCCAGTGAGGATACGCCCTGTGCCTGTGTCCCACGGGAGCCAGTGAGGACGCGCCCTGGGCCCTGTCTCCCATGGGAGCCAGTGAGGATACGCCCTGTGCCCTGTCTCCCACGGGAGCCAGTGAGGACGCGCCCTGGGCCCTGTCTCCCATGGGAGCCAGTGAGGATACGCCCTGTGCCTGTGTCCCATGGGAGCCAGTGAGGACGCGCCCGGTGCCCTGTCTCCCACGGGAGCCAGTGAGGACGCGCCCCCTGCCCTGCCGTGGGAGCCAGGCTGCCGCACCAACCGCATCACCCAAGGCAGCTTCTCTGAGCCTCCAAGAGGCCTTCCAGAGGGAGAAGGCTGTCGCTTGTCAGCCTTTGGAGCCCTGGCTCCTGTGTGTGGGGAGGCCACACACTGGGTTGTGCAATTAGAAAGAACCAGGCTGTGCCTTCGTCACGCGAAACGCGATGCCTTGAAGCCGAATGATGCAGTATTTTTAGTTTTAATTACTGGCCCGTTCTCCACTCCCTACCCAGCGACCTCCCTGGCGTGCTCCCAGGCATCTCAACCCAGCCTCTTCCCGTCCAACCCAGGGGGCGACGCGGATCTTCCTTTCTCTGCAGACCCTGTCACGTTTCAGCAAAATAAAGGGAGGCACAAGAAATCAGAGCCAGGGAAAGCTCTTAGCCATTTTCCAAGGGCTAAAGTGAGGTGGGAGATGTAAAATAATAATAATAATAATAATAATAACCTACCACTCTTACCTCCCTAAAAGAGGAGGTTGCACCTTTTAAAATAAAAAAAAAAAAAAGAAAATCAGCTCGCGGTAAAAATATCTCCCAAGAACAGCCAGCTGTTTATTTATAAATCTGTGCGCGGGCAAGCTTTCTTCCTCTCAAGTGTCTTCAAGAACATGCGTCGTGGTTGGGTGAGAGGGATGGGGGGCTGCTGGCGGCGAACCAGAGGCTGCCGGCTCCGGGGAGGGTGGATCACAAAAGACTTGCGGGGCGAGAGTGAGCTGGGGGCGCCGGCCGGCGGGGAGCACGCCCCCGGGGCTGCAGCCTTTTGCAGGCGGCTCAGGGTCGGGGGAGGCTGGCGAGCCGCAGCTGCTGAGCCGCCGCGCCGCCAGCAGATGGCGCTGTGAGCCCGGCCTGGGCCGCGGCGCACCGCCCCTCCCCGCGCAGATGGCTCAATCAGGCGGGCGCGCGGCCGCGGCGCTGGCGGGGCCGGGCAGTCAAGTGTTACTGCGTACAGCAGGTAGCCTGGCAACTGCGAGCATAATACCGAGCAGATGGTGCTCGCGCGGCGTGATGGACACCGCGCACGACAGCCCGAGACAATCCAGGAATTCCCTGGTGACTCGAGGCCCTCTTCACACAAAATGAGTTCTCTCTCCACCCACCGCCGCCCGGCTCGGGGTGCGCTCCCCTCTCCTCCTCCTCCTCCTCCAACCCCCACGCGACCCACACGGACCTGGTGACTCACGGCCGACTTTTCTTTGCCTCCCGAGGCGAGGGCCGGGGTGGGGGTGGTGAGGGGGGCGGTGGTGGCTTTGCGCCAGCCCCGGCGCGCACCGCCCGAGCCGGGAGGGCCTGCGAGCTGCCTGCGGGAGATGGAGGAGTTTGCGTACAAAGTCCCCCGGGGCGCGATTTTGGAGCCCTGTGAGCTTACAAGTCCTCGGCGGACTCGGAGGAAGCAGTCGGGAGCAGGCGTCCCTAACAAAGAAGGCGGCGCTGCGACGCCGGGCGCGGGCCCCGAGGCCGTGGGAGCCCAGATCGGAATCCTGCGCTTTCGCACCCACCCGCGCACCCACACGCACGCACACACCCCGCGGCGGGCCAGGCCATTCACGCACAGGAAACAGCATCCGTCTGCAGCCCA